TCTTGTATAATTTTTCTCTTTGAAATAGATCAGATTACTTTGTATGGCTTAAGCCAGCATCTCTATCTCTTTATCTGCATGTAAATATTGAGCAAGGAAAAAAAATCTCTTTTTATATTATGAGGGTAATTGTTGCATAAATAGAAATATGGGATTATTAAAAAAAAGAACCTGGTTATTGATTTTGTGAATAGACCTGCTCTGAAAGGGCTGCAAGATTAATTATTGTTGTTATGTTTATTGTACCTGATAGACACTATTTTGGGGTTTAGAATTTGTTTGAGGAGGAGCCCTATTATAGAAGGTCCCACAAAATAAAGATCTTGTTATTTCTAGTTCTGTTACATGTTAATGAGTCTATCATTCTATTGCTGGCCATGATTAGGTAGCTAAAATCTCACTGAAGTCAATGGGATTTAAGCTTGTCACATGCAAATTGCAGCCCCAAAGTTCCAGAATTATGGCTTATATAAAATTATCATGTATCAACTGATTAGAAACCATTTGCAGAATTGGCAACTTCCCCAAGAGCTGTGCTGATCACCTAAAGTCACTGCTAGTTTAACTCCAAAACCTCAGGCCCTGTTAATGTGCAATTTTGTATGTCAGTGTGAGAATAGGCTCTGTTATTGAAGTCTGTATCAACTTTTCAGTTGCTCTAATAGGTAATGGCTGCATCCTAGGAACACCAGCACTGCTTGGTCACCCTACCTGCTTTTAAGCCATGCCCATGTGTCACATTTAGCACACTCACATTTTCTGCACTATAAACACTGAATTGAAGCCTCTTGCTCTCTTTGACTGCAAAAGGCCTGTGCTTTTCCTTTATGCTGATTATAACATTCTGCATGCCCACATTAGTGCCAATATGCCAGACTGATTCCCAGTGTCTAATCTAAGCATGTGTCCTAAGCGACTGTGGGACTGAAGCTTTCAGAGGACTACTTCCTCCTTCCTATATTTGCACTGAAGTGATGTACACTTGGAGTGCTCACAAGGGCCAAATTTTGCTGTCGGGAGACTTTATAGATTATATTGTTCACCTCCTGTTAAAAAGAACAGCTTACATTGGCCCCTGTGGGTATCTTATACTTGAAGTATGACACAAGAAGTGAAAACTCATACATGTCTCTCCAAAGTGGGCATCAGCCATTTTTCCATATATCAATAAGGAGATACTAGAGGTACTTAGGGAATTTAAGTTCCGAGAAGTCATCTCCCACTTATGGTGGCCCTATGAATGAATGCCCTGCCTGTCCTGTTGTTGACAGCCCTGCTCAACTCTTGTAATCTCAACACTGTGGCCTCCTTTACACACAATCTTCTTCTGCCTTCAACTTTCCCTAGCATGACTGTCTTCTACAGTGAGTCTTGCCTTCTCATGAAGTGCCTGCAGCATGACAGCCTCTTTCATCATTTCTGTTTCCAGGGTAAGTTCTGGTTGATTAGATCTAGGACTCACTTGCTCATCTTTTTGTCAAGCCAGGGTAATAAATAAAACATGTGTTTTGATTGCAGATAATGATGTATGCTCTGTTACTAATCACCTGTGATGTGAGATGTCACACCTGTGAGCTGCCTAGGAAGGCCCTAAAAGTACATGTATAAATAAATGTGCAAAGCCTCACCTGAGACAGAGGTATTTCAGATACGCATCAGCTCTGGACTTTAGCTTTTGAGGCCTTGTGCAATTTATACCTCTGAAGTTTGCACATATCTTCCATGTGAACTCCCCCATCTGCACTGCACAAGAAGTCCCAGATGGAGAACATAGCTTCTTGGAACACTAAAAACTATTATGGGGATGGATGCAGCAGTGATCGTGCAGAGGAAAGTTCCTGCCTTTGAATCTTCTCCACAAGTCTGCCATAAAATTTGAAAAGCTGCACTCATTCCATCCATAACATACTTGGATCAGCACATAGTCTGAAGTTTTTAAAATGCTGAACTAGACATGTGACATGGATAAGCATATCTGCCAGGATGCACTTTGTGACTACCATATTTGGTTTGTTCTTTCATTTACAAGCCAGATCAGAATATTAAGGATGTGTTTTTAATTTTCATTTTTAAAGTTTGATTAGTACCTACACTTTAGCTCAAATAAGGGAGGCATCAGGTATAGGGCACTTAGAGTTTTGTAGGCAGGCACCTGGGTAAGGTGCTGTCATGCAGAGTAACCAACAGTGCAGTTCTTTATGTCTACTCTGAATTAAAACCTCTTTGTCTTCACTAGGCTTACTCCCAAGTAAGGAAGTAAGATTGGTCTTCCATGCACTGCATCCCATTCTGGTTGCTGCATCTGAAGCACCTGACATGATCAATGGGTTGGAGCAACTCTCTTAGGAGGAATGATTTCAACAACTCTAATTGTTTTGCTTGGGAAAAAAGCGAATAATGAGAGACACAATAGGAGTGTTTAAAATTATGTATGATGTGGAGAAAGGGGAGAGGGAGTCATTTTTCTTCCTCGACCATAACATTAGAACCCACGGTCATCTCATGGAGCTAACTGGTAGGAGAGTTGGGACAGACCAAAATACATCTTTACGCAGCACATAGTTACAATATGGAATTCTCTGCCAAAGTAGTGATGGCCACCAATTGTGATGGAATTAAGAGGAAGGAATTAAGACAAATTCTTGGAAGAGAAGGCTGTCAATGGCTACTAGTCATTGTCTATGTGCTATGTCCATTTTTAGAGGTACCATGCCTGTGTATACCAGTTGCTGAGCGACTGAACTCTTGTGCCCATCCTGCTCGAGGAATCGTGTGGGAAACTGGTTTGTCACCATGTGAGCAGAGTGCTGGATTGGATGGACCATTGACCTGTCCCAACATGGCCTTTATGTTTCTGTGTTAAGAATTTTGTAACGTTTCTGCATGTCACACGTACCAGTGACAGGGGAACAGAACTTATGATCGATCCTTCAGGTGACTTGGGCCAAGTGGAATTGATTTTTCCCTATTCTTAGGGCATAACTTCAAGTGACATCAACTCTCTTGCAGCATTGTGCAGTTTTAATAAAAATACTACGTTCCAGGGGCGCTCATTTTGATTCAGTGATACAGTTCAAAAGAAGGGGAGTTTTAGCTCCCCCCCACTGCATGATCTTGAGAAAAATTTCTCCTGCTGCTTGCTATAGTTAGAGACAGATTAAGTTCCCATTGATTCAGAAGATCAAAATCAGACAATGCCATTACTTGTATTATTTTTGCAAAAAGAAGGGTAACTTTCATAAACATGCAAAGTAGGCCCCTTCCTAGATTCCTTCAACTTGCCCTGCATTGCTTTTGCCAATGGTGAAATACTGATCATAGGACTGCCATACAAAGACACCCTTGTATGTCTTCTTAAGACACTCAGAGGTGAGAAAATACATAGAATGTTTATCATGTGCAAATAAATAATTGTACTAAGAAGTAATCCACTGATACTTATGTCTCATGGTCTTACACCCCAGTAGTTGTTATTCGAGATCCCATTTTTTAAGGAATAACAAGCAGATTTGCCGAGCTTAAGTGTTTCTCCCCCTTCTCTCTTTCCAGGCTGCATATCAACATTTAGCTTCAAGATACTGCTCAATAAAACAGTGAATGTACTTAAAATTGTAATATTTAATTCATTGCTGAATAAAATAAAGCACTTCTGCCATTTCAATCAAAATGTGTTGAGCTAATAGGAATATTGGTGTGTGCATGCTTTTAATTCTAGAACAGAGCTATAATGAAATGTGTTTTTGCAGTTCTACAATGCTGGACTTTTAGTCTTTGATAAATGCAAAACTATTTTACTTCTTAAGGGGTTTATGCCATCATGTCACTACATACTTTGTAATGTATTGATTGTTGTTTTTCTGAACAATTGATTATATTTATTTACTGACTATAGTCAGTAAAATAATACTTTAACAATGCTATCTAATTAATGACAAATTAAAGTATGAATTTGCTAAGTACTTCAATCAAAATAAAATGTGCAATGCTGACAAAGTACTGTGTGCATGCAGAAAATTCTTCCTTTTCCCCCTTCTCCCGAAGATCTTGAATTTACATTTTCCCCCTTGTATTTAATAATACTACTGTTGTGGCCAACTGAAGTATTTCAAACACCAAAAACCACCCCCTCCTCTGTTTAAAGACATCTTGCAAAAAGGTCTGGTGATACTCTGTAAACACAAATTATAAAAGCAATTTTTGAACTGTGTGATTTTTTTATAGCACTACATTAAAGGAATTTGCAGAAATGGGTGTTTCCAACTGGAATGTTAAACAAATATCTGTTTGCTTTTTATCCTTGATTCGAGAAGAAACAAGTTTGACACCTTCAACTGTATTTCTTTCACTGACTGTGCACAGCTTACATTAGTTCTTTATGTCTAGGATACAGATAGTGACTGGCTTAATTAAGACAAAAGAACTACATAATATAGGCTTTTTTTACTTGATGAAAAAACCCAACTGTTTTAATATTAAAACAGTACAGATCATATATTAAGTTGCTATGAAAAATTTTAAAGGACACACTAATTTTGTACAAAACCTCAATTTATTCCAAAGAAATTAAAATATGTATTTTATATATATTTATATATAAACTTCTATTCCTCTATAAATATAGATGATCTTGCGATAGTGAACAGAAATAAATGCATACCAAATTCATATAGCTATGCATTTCAGGGTATGGTTAAGTCATAGATAATATTTATGACAGGTGCTTATATAAAAAGTTTGAAACAGTACAATCAGAAGAGCAGCAAATCTGTTTTGCTATACAAAGGATTAAATATTAAAATGTGTTTGCCAGTTAAATTTGACACATCTTGTATAAACCTGTTAAGGAAATATGAGCCATAACGGTTTAGAGAGAGCATAGACATGGGCTCTCTTAGCTTTACATATAAATTAATATATTGGAATATCAGGTTTGAAGATGCTTTAAGGTTTCACACCCTATCATTCAGTTGCAATTGCTTTTTTCTGGTGGCCTAATCATCACGCCTTTCAATCACCTACTAGTGAGAAGGAATTAAAACCTATCAATTATAAAAAGATATAGAAATGAAATGTCAGTGTTATAAATACGTTGAAAATCTGAATAAACCAAGTTGCTGGGATCTTTTGTGGTGTTTACGTCCTCACCCTCCCATACTCTTGGCCAGTATGAGTTTGCTTGCAAAATCAGCACACTAGTACCTTTCTGGTATTCTCCCCCAGCAAACACTTTACACAGAAAAACAAAAACAGACCAAAGAAGGAAACTGTTCAGAAAAGGAGTGCCAAATCACAATCAAAATGCACAGTTCTTCTTCTCAGTAGACAGTAACAATGACAACCATTGGCCTTATTTCTGTAGAAGGTGCAGGTAGCCCGTTCCTAGTTTAAAAAGCAAACTGTGCATTCAATATATTACACAAAGTTAGGAGAAATGATACAGTACTGAGAAACTATCAGACTTGTGTACAGGAGCAGCTGTACACAACCACTCAATTCCATAGTTCTTACAACAGGTCACACCTTTAAGCAGGGTTTAGGAGCCTTGGTCCAGAAGAATTTGATGGTGGGTAGAAAAGTTTCTTAGGCAAGGGCTAGGCATGCAATGGAAGATACATACAATTCCCTCCCCCAAACTCCTCCCACCTTGGAACTGAAACAAGTAAAACAGCTTGCTCCTTTCTTCCTTCAGGTCATATTGAGCAAGAACAGGAGTTAGACTCTTCCACTCCCTGTCTGCAGTTGTTGTCATGCTGTGCTCCCACCATTATAACTTTCCTGAAACTATCAGTTCTACCAACATCATCTTCTTGCAAAAGATTCCAGCATTGTGACCAATTATTCCCAGATGGTAGCTGTGTTGTAGCAAGCACAGCAAAGAGTCTTCTCACACCTTAAAGATATTTATTCTGGCATAAACTTTCAGGACTGGAAGCCTAAATCCTGAATCAAGTGGCCTACCAGCAACCATTCTATGTTGCCAGGGGGAGGGGGGGAGTCTGTTGGTTTCATTCTGGTCCCTATTTTTCCATTTTGCACTAAAAATAAAATAGAACGTGAGTTTTCTTTCTTTGCTTTTCTTCAAAAACCAAGAAAAGTCTGCAAAGGGGTTAAAAAAGTTCTAAATAATTACAAAACCAAGAACTTTGTGATTTAAATACAAACATACTTACAAAATCTTACAGAGGCTATTTACAACAACCTCAAAGTCATATTTCCAACTTTACAGTAATGTCAGTCCAGCAGAAGGCAGGGAGAAAAAGGTCTCTCCATTCACCATACTTTTTCCTATCAGTTTCCTGTGAGCTGAAGGGATCAGTCCCTGCCGAAGGAAACTGATCCCTGAGTTTCTCACCTCCAGTCTCTGGCTGGAATGATGGGCAGGCGACAAGGTCTTTCGCTTGCTATTCCTAATGTGTGAACTTCACACTGTAGTCTCCCCTTGCTTGCTGTTGGTAAGTCTGGTATAGAACTTCCTCCAAGAATTGAGTGTTTTCCCAGACCAGATCCAGAAGCCAGAGGTGATTCCTACAATTAAGGTCATGAGATATTTGATCATGAAGACGGTGAAGTCAGGGCTCATGGGCGGATGGTGGTGACTGCTGGGGCAGGGGATGGCATAGCTCTTGCAGCTTTGAGCAAACCAACTCATTTCCCACTGTTCCCTAAAAGCTTGCTCATAAAAATAGCAGGCAATGACGATGGTGGCAGGCACCGTGTACAGGACACTGAAGATCCCTATCCTCACCATCAGCTTCTCCAGCTTTTCTGTCTTGGTGCCGTCATGCTTCATGATGGTCCTGATTCTGAAGAGAGACACAAATCCAGCCAGCAGGAAGGAAGTGCCAATGAATAAGTAAACAAACAAAGGCGCCAGCACAAAGCCCCGCAAGGCATCCACGTTGTTAATGCCCACAAAGCAGACGCCACTCAGCACGTCTCCATCCACCTGCCCCAAGGCCAGAATGGTGATGGTTTTGATGGCAGGAACAGCCCACGCTGCCAGGTGGAAGTACTGTGAGTTGGCCTCAATGGCCTCATGGCCCCACTTCATTCCAGCAGCCAGGAACCAAGTGAGGGAGAGGATCACCCACCAGATGGAGCTGGCCATACCAAAAAAATAGAGCATCATAAAGAGTATGGTGCACCCTTCACGCTTGGTGCCCTGGGCCACTGTCCGTGAGCCATCATCAGAGAAGCGCTCATTGCAGACAACCTTTTCCTCAAGCAGGAACCCTGCAATGTAGGCCACTGCCACGGCAGTATAGCAACCCGAGAGGAAGATGATGGGCCTCTCCGGGTAGCTGAAGCGTTTCATGTCCACCAGGTAGGTGAGCACCGTGAAGAGGGTGGAAGCACAGCACAGCACCGACCAGATACCAATCCACGTGCGCGAGAAGCGCAGCTCCTCTTGCCCAAAGTACATGAGCCCATAAGGGCGGCCGGGCTCACACGGCGCTCCGCAATCCTTCTCGCCCAGGAAACGGTAGTTGAGGTAGGAGGGCACCTTGAGCACCCTGGGGCAGGTGAACCTGCCCGCCCGGTCCGCCAGGTGGCTCCCGCCGCCTCCCCCCGCTCCTGCCCCGCCGAAGCCCGGCCGCAGCTGGGGGTTGCTGGTCCAGAACTCGGGCCCCAGCGACGGCGTCGGGGTGCCGCGCTCCGACGTGTTCTGGCCCACGCACAGCTCGCCGGCGCCGTGCACGGGGAACTTCTCGCAGCGGAGCGTGTCCGGCCACTGGAAGCCGAACTTGTTCATGAGCGCCTCGCAGCCCTGCCGCGCCCGCTCGCACAGCGAGCGGCAGGGCGGCAGCGCCTGCTCCAGCACGGTGCACACGGGCGCGTACATGGAGCACAGGAAGAACTTGAGCTCGGCCGAACACTGCACCTTGACGAGCGGGTAGAACTGGTGCACCTCCAGGCCGGCGTCCTCCTGGTTGGTGTGGCCCAGCAAGTTGGGCATGATGGTCTGGTTGTAGGCGATGTCCGTGCACAGCGGGATGGTGATGGGTTGGCAGAAGCCGTGGTCCGGCACCGAGATGCCGCGCTCACCGTTGTACTGCTGCTGAGGCTGCTGCTGAGCCTGGCCCCGAGCGGGCAGCACCGGCGCCTCGGTCCACAGCAGCACCACCGCAAGCAGCAAGAGCAGCCGCGGCGAGCGCGCCCTGGCTCGGCAACTCCCCGCCGCCGCCTCGGCCCCGCTGCAAACTTGCCGAGCCCACTTCTCAGCCATACTTCGCCGGCTCCTCCCGCCGCCGCTCTCGCCGCCGCTTTCCCTGTCTCCGCCGCCGCCGCCGCCGCCTTCGCCAGGCTGCCGCCGCCGCTGCCTTTCCCCTCCTCTCCTGCCTGCTCAAACTTGAGACTCATGAAGCGGAGGCAGGAGGGAGAAGGAGCCCGGCAGGCGCACGCTCCTCCGCCGCGCCGCCAGCGTGTTCGCCTCCGCAGCCCGCCAGGCACAGCGCGGCAGCCCCTGCTGCTGCTCCTGCTGCCGCCGCCTTTTCTTCTTCCTCCGCCACCGCTGCCGCCTGACCATTTGTGGCAATCCCTCAAGCCCGCTCTCCCTCGAACCGGTTTCCAGGCGCCCCGCAGTCTGCCTTTCACCGGGAGGGAGGAGCCTTGAAATCGACGCCGAAGTTTGCCTGCGTCAGGGACCGTCGCTCAACATCTCCTCTCGCTTCCAAGCGCAGGAGGAGGCGGAGGTCTTCCGATGCGGTGGTTTCTTCCTCGCCCCACCTCCCGCTCTCTTTCTCTCCGACTCCCCTTCCTCCTCCTCCTCCTCCTCCTCCAACTTTCTCCAGGACACAAGGCCTGGGTGGGGGAGGGGGAGCGAGGTTGCTGTGAAGGAGGCCCGCGTTGACGGGGCTTGCCTTAAAAAGAAGAAAAGCAGAAACCTTGGGAGAATAGCCCCATATGCTGTGACCGGCTAATGAATAGAGGAGAGCAGACAATTGCTTTTCATTTTTACGCTTAAAATTCCATGGTTCTCACTAGTAAAAATTTTTTCTAAAAGGAGGCAATAGGAGGCGAAGTCCAGAACAGATGTTTGTTTAGCGTTTGCAGCTTGAGGGAGACACGATTGCTGAAGCGCTTTCCATTGAAAACAACCAAAAACTGCTTCGCTTGAAATTACTGGAACAAGTTCCACCGCGCTCTTCCCATCCGCCTATCCTCCTCAACTGGGAATGAAATAATAAGTATTATTTTTCAAAAATGCAAGCAAACAAGTCGCAGCTTCGCCTTAGAAGTTATTTAAATGACAGCTGCTTTCTCTCCCCGCCCTACTCGAAGGTTACCTATTTAGTTGTAAATATTTCATTTCTGTACAACACGGTAGCTAAAGGGAGCACCCTTTAAAAGTCGAACTGGTAAAATATCTAGCACTGGACAGACTGATGTCAGACTGAAGGACACAAATGGGCAAATATCTCAAGATGCAATTTCAGGGCCAAAATTCTTTGGCGAATGCTAAGCTGGAGGAAGTTCCCTTGAATCAGTGGTACCCACTTCCAGATAAACATGCACACTTTCTGAAGAAGGTATACATTTCTCCAAGATGATGCTGTTCCCAAGGGTCACTTAGCTTAAATGTGTCTCAGGGTTTTCAAATGCAGCAAGGGAGATGGTGAAATTAATCCAAAAGCAAAGAAGTTGTCTTTTATCCCAAATTACAGTTGCTGGTTTTTTCATGAGCAAGGTTTGTGAAGGGCTGCAGCTCAGCAGGGAGAAGGTCCCACATTCATAGTTCAGCATCTCCAAAGGTCCACATCTTTTGGATCCATGAGCAAATTTGCAATTTTGAGAGAGTGTTGTGCAAGTTCTGGTGACATGGAGCAACTTAATGCAGTTTTACACTGGTTACCGGGGGGGGGGGGGGGGACGGACATGGCAAGTCACAAGACACTCATTTCCCAGAAGGCAAATTGGTGAGACTTGCATGTTTAGCCAGAAGAAAAGGTCTATACCTGGAGGATGCTGGCTGGATGGGGGAAATGCAGGGATCTGTACGATTTTTTTTTTCTTGTGCTGTTTATTTATTTATTTAGGAAGCTTATATGCCGCCCCATTTGCCGAAGCCTTGGGGTGGCTCACAACAATATATGTTTAAATATCTGTAGGGTTGATCCTGTCTTATCTTAATCTAAATAGAGTGCAGATGACTAGAAGGCAGTACCTTGCAGCATGTAAGTCTTCCGAGGTTTTTTTTTTTTTAATTAAAAATCAGGGAGCCTGGTGCTTACCAGATGAGGAGTCCACAAGCCCTTGGGTGCTCAAGGGCACCGTGATGGAGACCACAGACCTATAGAGAAGTTGACCAATCCACCAAACAAACCCAGATTAATTTTCATGTTAACCGTGTTTCTACATCTAATTGTTCACACTTGCTGCTTCATCTCCTTCACAGATTTCTCTCATACTACCTGGCGTAACAAGTAATGTGCACTCCAAACTCTACCCTTCACTCACTCAACCATTTCTACCTTCCCAAATTTCTCGTGACTTACGGTATACTTTTCACTATTTTAGGTAGGGATGGTATAACTGTGGACATTCCCAGACAGCATGGCTAATTGGCAATGCTGCTGGGAGCTGGAACACAACAGGATATGGTGGGCTACTAGTCCTCCACCCCAGTTCAAGGAAACTCAGTGAGACTTTTGTTTGTTGGTTATAAAGAACTATCTAATTAGCCATTCATTTTTATTACCTAGTTAGAAATTGTTTTGATAGTTGTCTTAATAAGAAATTAAAATTGATTGCTGCTGTTGGAAATTTCCAATTTATATTTCACCCCAGTTCCTAATTGTTTCCATCATGGATAATCAAGCACATGATTTCTGGTTTAGAGACCTACCAACAAACTAGCATATATATAATATTTTTATGCTCAGAGAGAAGGTAGAATGAGGTTCACCACAGATTTGAGACTTTAGCTCCAAAAGTCCTTGCCAACCTGGCCAATGGTCAGGCATGCTGGGAATTGAAGTTCAAAACACCTGGGGATGTATTTCCTGTCCATCTCAACTTTACATAAATTATTCTAGTTCTTACTAGAAACGTGCATGGTACACTGCTGATATAGTATCCCTATGCTATATTTGTGGGGTGGACGACTTGAGAGACTGCAACTTGTCAAAGCCCAGATGGGATAGCCAGGATGACTTGAACCTATGATTCCACGTGTATGCTTGTTGTTGCTAGTCATGAAGTCGTGTCTGACCCATCGCGACCCCATGGACAACATTCCTCCAGGCCTTCCTGTCCTCTACCATCCCCCGGCGTCCACCTAAGCTCACGCCGACTGCTTCAGTGACTCCATCTAGCCACCTCATCCTCTGCCGTCCCCTTCTTTGTTTATGCTGGGATGTAGCACGGGTGTGCTAGGATGGCTTGAACCTAGGATTCCAAGTGTGTGCATCAGCGAAGTCTATTGCTTCATAAACCAAAATATACACCTTCCACCAAGCTGCTGATCTAGTAGGAACCTTTGCATGTGGACACAATCATTAGGTAATGATATGAATTAAGAAGTTTGGATAAAAAACTGTCCCATTCATTTCCCCAGAAAATCATAAAATGGTAGAAAGGTCTTGATTTGCATTACAAAGAATAAAGCCAGTTGGCCAGAATAAGTAGTTCGAGGAGTGCAGTTACCACTGCAAATGTCAAAAAGATAATACTTTAAATCTTTCTTGCAAGGGCTCCAAAAAGCTGCATGGCTAGAAAAGTGGAAATGTGACATTGAACATGTGATTTTAGCAACTGGTACAATATCAAGAAAATTTCAGCTTGCATAAAAAGAAAATAAATATGGGAATTTCCCTAGCTTTCATGGTCTATGAAGTAAACTTAAAACCATATAGTTTCTGTTAAGAGCAAACACATTTCCTTGGACAGGAATTGCACTGGCCAAGAAACGAGGGCATATGTAATTATGTGTTTCTTAACTGACCGTCTAACATTGACCATCATATACTGTAGCTAGTTCACCACAGCACCATGCATTTTCCCACAAGATCCAAGTCTTTCCCGAATCCTCAACACCAGAAAGTGAACACTGAATACCAAATTCTGAACAAAAGCATAAATTGAATAGCATGGGCCTCACTGGAATCATGCAAAGCGACTGAAGATGTGGCTTCAGCAATTCACATGGAAGTGGCACTGGCTTGGGGCAATTACTTCTCCCTTCTGACAGTGTCCACCTGGAAGACAGCAGGCACAAATCCAAACTCCATTTTATTCTGGTACTCATGATGGCTGCTATAATTTAAGTGAGTTTAAAATGCAGAACTGATCATGCTCAGAATATATATTGTTGCAATTACTATTGTTTTAAAATCAGGGTTGGCAAATACCTTTGTGGAATGTAGAAGCCATTTTAAAGCATGACTGCCAGTTGAAGCAGGGAAGAGGAATATCATTTGTGCACTTCATAAATGAAATAATGCACAGGGTCATCTAATGTCCCCTTTCCATCGGCCCAGTGCATTCAGGGTCTAAAATTACCTAGCTGCACCACTGCTTAGAAGTCCTGCAGCACAACCCTACATGTGCCCTATTTAGTTCAATGAGATGTTCTCCCAGTTAAGTGTACAGGATTGCAGCCGGTTTCATGCAGAAGCAAATGGGTTTTAAGCCTATTGGGCAGAGAATGTCTTACAACTTCTGTTTTTACTTGGATGCAGTCAATAGCTAGAACATTTTTCCTGTGGTAGTTACAGACAAATCGCAGACTAAATATTTAGGCCACTTCCTTTCTCCCAGCAGTGCTGTCCCACATTCAGAAAAGTTACTACTAACATTGAGTTATAATGAATAGAGTGGGGAAAGTATGTTTTGAAATAGTATATCATTACCTATGTCATTTACCTGGTTTTTTTTAATAATAAAAACTTCTAATAGAGTAACTCCTGGGTACTTGAAAATTCATGGTGCAGGATATTCTATTTCGAGAACATGCATATATTTAAGTTATTGCTGGAGCTCGTCTTTCAGATGTAATGCATGTGTCAAACGAAGTATAATTTTTGCAGATTTCTCCCCTTCCAGCTTGATTTCTTGCACTGCAATCCTATATGTGTTTATTCAGAAATGACTTCCATTGTGTTCAGTGGGGCTTGCTCCTGAGTAAGTGTGTGAAGGCTGGGTCCAGGATGTCATAACCATCAGAAGAAGGGATACTTTTCTCTTTAAAGGAGGTAGTAGTTGGGTCAGCCCTTCAGTCCTGGTTTT